AGTAATTTTTAAAATTTATAATAGTTCCTAACATGGGAGTTCCATTATCGAAAACAGTTATTATTCTCAAGTGAGTTGATAATCTAGTAGTAATGCCAGAAATATGTGTGTCACTTAACCACTGGTGCCCCAGCAGTCTGCACTCGACTGTCAGTTATTCTGAATGTTCCCCCTTGGCGGTCTCCACCCCTCTTACGCCGTTGGTCCTGAAGCCTCACCACCATCCACCGTTTCTCCTGAGCTCCTGACCTGTATTTCCAGCTGCCTGCTGGTCACCACCTGCACGTCCTACCCATGTAATTCAAAATCAGCATATCTCCCATTACACCTGCCTACATGTACACCAAGGAGCTCTGGTGGCGCAGTGGTTAAGGGCTTGGCTGCTAACCTAAAGGCCAGCAGTTCAAAGCCACCAGCCACTCTGTGGGAGAAAAGACCTGGCGATCTGTTCTCGTAAAGATTTCAGCCTAGGAAACCCTATTAGGCAGTTCTCCGCTGTCCTGTGGGGTCGCTATGAGTTAGAATCGACTCGATGACACACAAGAACATAGGCACCACCTCAGCCTAAACCAGTTCCTGTTCATCTCTCCCGGCCCCAGATGTGGCCTCTGCTGTGAAGTCTTCTCAGGCTTACTATAGAGACACATCCGAACGGTTTAATTTTACTGACGTTTATTAGGTACACATCACGTTAGACTGACAAGTATGACATTGCACTGAGAGTCTAGAAAACATTGCAGCTATGAATGTTTCCTGCTACTACTGTTCTTCAAGATTCTGTTTTTCTAGCACCACTCAGCAGCCTGAGTAGAGGAGAAGAGAGAGGAGAGTAATAAGATTGATCCAGAGTTGGCAACTGGCTAAATAAATGCAGTAGAAGAATGAGTGGGATTCAAGGTTTGGGATTTTGGTGACAGAATAGTTTGGTGGATTAACCCACAATTCTGGTGAGGCAAGGGTCCATTAGAATAGATGTCTTCAGAGATGTGAATTACTGATACCAGTTGGCTGCCCCGATATACTATTCAGGCCTCTACTGAAGCTTTGAGAAGTATTATGGGTAACTTCACCGGATAAAATGCTGAGTGCAGATGAGTCTGAGGGAGGTTCAGTTACCATTACAGCAAGAGAGTTAGTGTCCAGAACTGAAGAACATCGTTTCTTCTCCATGTGTGTTATGCTTTGTGTTTCCCCACTGCAATTATCATTAAAACAAAAAAGGATTTCTTACTACCCGTTGGTGACAGCAGGGAAGTGGTATCTAAGGAGACCTCATTCCAGTCCATAGCATGTCTTCAAGAAATGGAACCTCAAGGGATCAGACACATGGTGGCAGTATAAAAGAGGAGGAAATCAGGCTGAATCCCTGGGGCTTTGGGGAGCAGATGTAACTAGAGTGAAGTGGGCTTGGAGGATTAACAGAATATTGACTGGGTACTCTACCCCTTGCCTGCCCCCCTGCAGGATTTAATTTCGATGTCTTCTAGTTTCGTTAACAGTTTACACATCCCTCTTATTTTGTATCACATCTTTACACATGTATCCCCAGTTAGACTGTGATTTCCTTCAGGGCAGGAGCCATGTATTAGTCATCCTGGTTCCTTTGCTCCAGTACAGTCTCAGGTACAGAAAAGGTGCTTAATAAATGTAAGCATGAAAAGTATAGAACATTGTAACAATCTCCAAAGCTGTGTGTTGCAGATGATTGGTAATATTATCAGTGGCCAGGACATCGGTTAAATCACCCTGTAGATCTTCACAGCAATTGAAAACAAGCAGTCACTTCTCTCTTACTTAGTTGTTTTATTTAAAAAAAATCTACAGCGCTAATGCGAATTCATCATTTTTAGGTGATTGACGAAATTTATCGTGTATTGAGATATGTCAATTCTACCAGAGCCCCTCAGCGAGCTCATGAAGTACTTCAAGAGTTAAGGGACATTTCCTCCATGGCAATGGAATACTTCGATGAGAAGATTGTTCCAATTCTAAAGAGGAAATTACCAGGATCAGATGTATCTGGAAGACTCATGGGCTCCCCTCCAGGTATCTCTTGTTTATAATATGTTTTCTTTATAATAATGTTTGCACATAGTTTTTCAGCTTGCTTTTTTCACTTAACCATATATCTTGAACTTTTTTATACTGGTAAATAATTATGTTCAACATCATTTTTAATAACTATAGACCATAATTTAGGTAATTGACCCTCTACCGTTAGAGACATTTGTTGTTTCCTGTTTTTTTCAGTATCTGAACTACACTCTGAAGAACAATCTGTGGCTAAATTTTTGCACATATTCACAACTATTGACTTGCAACGAATTGGTTATTAGTAGAATTGCTGGGTGGAAGGGTATATACATGTATGTTTTTTTTGATGATTCTGATTAGTTCATAACTTTCAGTTTTTAAGTAGAGTTAAATATGTCAGATAAAACCCAAAAAAATCTTCATGGAACTATCCAGTGAATTATTTGAGCCTCCAAAGTGTCTGGCTGTTACTTTAAAACGCAGAGTGTTAAAGCTGTTTTGAACACTGTCACTTTTTCTGTGGTAGCTATTTTACAAAAGTATATTGAATCCTAGAGATTTGTGTCCTTGTCTGTTGGAAGACTAAATGGTTCAATATCCTTAACTCTTGAAAATACTTTCAAGTTAGGAAAAAAAAACTTTAATAAAACTTCTTGTTTTACTCAGATTAGTTAGCTCCCTGCAGGACTCAGTGGGTCAACTGAGTGGCTGTCTGTAATTTAACAATAAAGCCTACCGCATCTCAGCATTAATGTATCTGTTATTTATTGAGTGCCTGTTATGTGCACAGCACTGTACTGTGTCCTGTGGAGACTAAAAAGAAGTGTAATATGTGGTGTCTGCCCTCAAGGATCTTACTATTTCAGAAGGTAAGACATACCCAGATACAAAGTTAAATTATCATAGACAAGAGAACTATATTAAGGCAGTGTCCAATTAAATGCCAAACAGTAGCAAGACAGATTCTTATGGAGGAAAAAAATCATCGTTGGCTGATCTGATCAAGACTTCACAAGAGGTAAGAATTGATCTGAGCCTTGATGTATAACAGCAGGTTTGATAAGCAGAGAGGGAAGGAAGAATGCATCAGTCAAGGAAAATAATTAAGGCTATATATATGTACAAGGAGAAAATTAGCGTAATGGATTTAGGATATGAATGGATCCATCTGGTCCTTTTAGAAAACCTTCAAGAGATAAGGTTTTTAAAAAGTAGGTTATTAGTTTAAAATAGTAAGTGTTACGCCCTTGTGGAAAAATGGTATAGTGGGGACGTCTGACCTCTTCTAACCTCACAAGGCGGAAGGAGAATCAAGATCAACAGCCCAAGGCTGATTCCTATGAGGTGGAGGTCAAACATAATCTCCACCCTCCAAGTTTTTTTTACTAGTTCTGACACCAGCCGTTCCTCCCATTGCATTCTCTACTTCTCTGCTGGGTTTAATAATTTATTGTAGTGGCCACACAGAACTCACAGACATTGTTCATGATTCTAGGGTTTATTAGGGGAGGTAGCAGGTTACAGTTCAGGATCAGAAACTACTCAGAATATAGTTCTTCGATCAGGACAGCTTCTCAGCTGTGCTGGCAGGCAAGCCTCTCCCTGGCCCTCAACCCTTCAGCCCCTTGGGCCGGCCTGGCCTCTTTCCTGCTTGGGCAAGTGTTAAACAAAGCTCTTTAGCTCCACCAGTAAGTGCCTAGACGCACCCCATTCTGCCAGTAAGTGTTGGGCTGGAGGCACGCTACTCCACCAGCAAGCCTCCTGCCTGAAGGCGCTCAGCTTTCACGCTCCATGGGTCAGGAACCCCGCCGCACTGTCTCCTGCCAGTCTCCTGGTGCTGCTGCTTCTCACCATTTCTCACCATTTTCTGGTGTTATAGCTCTCTCTCTGTCACCTGGTCTAGGAGGTTTTTAGCACAGGGACCCCAAGTCCAAAGGATGCACTCTGCTCCCATCGCCTCTTCTTGGTGGTTTGAGGTCCCCCCTTTCGACCTCTGAGATGGCTCATTTTAAGCCTAGTGGGATGGCAAAACTGACTAATTCCTTCGTTAGCATTCCATACTCTTTATTTGCATAGTCACATCCCCACAAGGGTGTCATGCATCTTATTCTTAGCAAGCTCTCCATCGCCTTAGTGGGCTACAAGCACCTTATTTACATAGTCCCACCCAAGCATTTATGGGAGTTATAAGACTGGCTAGAAGGACCATATTGAGTAATTCACTGCACTACACCATGGCACTTACTTGTTACATTCCAGTTATTCCTAAAACACGGTAGCTCCATGGCCTTCCTACGCCTGCACCTACGCTTCGTCATCATCACGTGTTTCCGTCTATATGTAAATATATCAAAGGAAATTGAGGTTTTGTGGTTCTAGCTCCAGAAGAAGAAGACAGGCTTAGTAGCTTAGGCAGTTACTCTGTCAGGACACTGTGAGCAACACGGTGTCCCTTGGGCTTCTGGGCTGTCAGGACACAACTTACATAGATCCCACTTTTCGTAGAGTCCCTGTTTATCTCAGATTGAAACCTTTGTGTATAATTAAGTGCAGAGAACTTAAAAACATGATCCTTCTCTACTTCTAAACTGGAAACTTCGTTTGCTCATTAAAATCAGGTAGAATATAACTTTTCTAATTTTACTACTTGTGTTTTCTTACTGTATTAAGTTCTAAAACGTTTTATAATATTTTATATTTAAGTTTATGGGATTAAATGTCCTCTCTCTTTGCTGGCAGTCCACGTACTGCCACATATGCGTGACACGCAGAATTCACACTTGCTTACAGCTAAAACAAGGGTATCAGTTAATCCATTAGACCAAGTAGATTGCAAAGACCAAACTATCAGAAGTGATCAAATAAAGATACTACGTTTTCAAATAAGTTTAACCAGCGGATTTGGTTTTTTGTTTTAATTGCGTATTCGTGATAGGGAAACGCTGTACATGATGAACTGACCATTTTAAACCGTTTCTCCACAGTCCCAGGACCTTCTGCTGCCCTAACGACAATGCAGCTCTTCTCCAAGCAGAACCCTTCAAGACAAGAGGTCACCAAACTCCAGCAGCAGGTTAAAACAAATGGTGCTGGCGTGACTGTTCTCAGGCGTGAAATTTCTGAGCTCCGCACCAAAGTGCAAGAACAGCAGAAACAGCTTCAGGACCAGGATCAGAAACTGCTAGAGCAGACCCAGATCATAGGTGAACAGAACGCACGGTTGGCAGAGCTGGAACGCAAACTGCGAGAAGTAATGGAGAGTGCAGTCGGAAACTCCTCGGGTTCAGGGCAGAATGAGGAGTCTCCTCGGAAACGAAAAAAGGCAACGGAAGCCATAGACTCTCTTAGGAAATCTAAACGTCTTCGCAATAGAAAGTAAATTGGAATGTGGTTGTAGCGCCAGAAGAAGACATGGCTTAGTAGCTTAAGCAGTTACGCGTATCAGGGCACTGTGAGCACCATGGCGTCCCTTGGGCTTCTAGGCTGTCAGAACACAACTTAAACGTGAACTCTTTCATGGTTAAGGCATTCTTCCCCGCTTCTCCTGGGTGAACTGATGCACAGAATCTTTTCCTTTGCAATAGATTTGTACTAACCAGACCTGTTCTATCATGTTTTGAGGAGTTAACTTTCCTGTGCAGATAATGTTTAACGTTTGTTTCTGCATACGTGCACATTACATAAGGATCTTAAACAAACCCAGTCTCGAGAGACTAGAAGTTAAGTTTAAATACAGAAAATGTCCTGCTCACTTGAAAGAAAAGACCTACTTTTTAAATGGACACTATCTTGTTTTTTAAAAAAAAGTTGACTTTTTGTTATAAGTGACCTTTGTCTGGAATGTCTGAAAAGTAGTTTATGCTTTTTGGTATTGAAGTAATGGGTAACTAAAGCGGACTTACATAGTATTGACTGTAGAAGGGGCCTCTACAGTACTGACTATATATTTTTATAAACTGGCAAGGGACTTACCCAGTTGTTATATACATGTTCTCAGTTCTCTTTGGGGGCCATGTCCTACATTTGCATGGATGGATGCATGCATTGCCTAATCAGCTCACTTAAAAAGCTCTTGCACTGGTATTGATCTTGAACCTTTATACATCACTTTTTAGAGCAGCTTCTTAGTTTATTTAAGCGCTTAACATCTTCCACCACAACAGCTTGCCTCTAGAGGGTAATTGTTAGTCCATTTGCCCTCCGGTTTTACAGGGGCAAGAGAGTATTGAAGCCCATTGCTGTATCTATTCTCTGTAGGGCTCAGGTACACTGGATAAGGCAGAACCCCAAGTTCCAAGGCTCTTTCTGTTGATATCAGACCGCCAGTAACTAGTACTGCTCCTTACTCAGCACTGTGTCACTTGCTGATCAACTGTGATTGAATAGGGGACACAACTGTAGGATGCAGTTTTGGCATTGAAGCAGAGTTCATTGAAGAAAAATTGTACTATGAAGAAGCATTTCATTTCTGGAGGTGATCTTAGGGAGGCTTTTTGGTATTAATTCTGAGCTTTCCTTATCCTCCAATGTTAAACAAAAGCTTTAATTTCTTTTGCACTCCTGTTTTGAGCGTGTAACCGGAAAAGCATGTCTTGCACTGTTTAGCCTTTTGAGTGGTCACTTTAACAACCTCCAAATTGTGTACAGTGTTCATTTTTCCCGGTTGTGTATTCTTGAGACATTATCCAACTATCACTGTCCTAGTTTTATTTTATGTACTAAATTATGTAGCTGTTATTTGTTAAATTCTTTTAAGCAGCTGTTGCCTTGGGCTTCAGTTATTTAAAGTAAATTTAGGTGTAAAGTAGAAAATGGTCCCTTTCCAGGTGGGAGTTTGACACCTGTATAAACCTAAGGTTTTGGTAAGTACCTTCGTTGAATAAAAGCACAAGGCTGCCACCGTTTACATCCGTCCAACATGACATGGTTATGCATCCTTTAGATTAACCTCACCAAATGAAACTTTTTCCTGTCCATTTTTAATATTGTCCTTACACAATATTGTCCTTAGATTTTGGTCAATTCTATGTCTAACTTTGAAACTCCATTTACAATGTAGTATGTTTTCAATGAAAAACCATAAAGTAACATCCAAGTGTTTCATGGCTTGTTGGGAAGATAATTTTAAAATAAACAATTTCCAAAAAAACATTTGTCAGCCAAGGTCATCCGTAAAAGTCCCCGCTGGAGATCATTTTCTCAGCAGGTCTCGTTTTTGTAATCATAGGATTTAGCCATATTGTCATAACTTTGGAGGAGGCCTACTGGAACACTCACGGCCTTTAATAGTCTGCTTTGCTGGTATTGGAAGACTCTTAAAATGACCAAGTACATGTTTACAGGGTTACGAAGTATGACCCTTATGCATTGGAGGGATATAGCCTTAGATTGTTTCTTTCATAGTAGTTAATGAATTGCCAAGAATTTCCTGAATTTCTTTTTAAACTACATCTAGATACCCTAAGTGGACCTATAGTCTTCCATTGGTGAACATGAGTACATGGCATTCATAATAAGCATTCACACTGTTAGAATGTAGGTTTTCTATTTCAAGATCCAAACTTCTACAGCATACACTTGTAACCACCTGTCCATAAGGCTGATGAGTTGCGCTTGTTGATGCATGAATGTTCCATAACAGAGAATAAAACACTACATTTTAGTCTTAACTCGTAGACTGTCTAGCTCAAACACGTTAGGAAACTGCCTTCACCATTAATCAGGTGTTTGCTTTTGGATGGCATAGTGGTATTTAAGGTTCAACAAATGACAAATTATTTTGATCGTCTAAAACTGACATATTTCAGGAAAATTGTAAATTCGCTTCCTGAGAGAGCCATCCTGCCCTGCGTTAGAAGTCAGTGATTTAAATGCTGTATGCTGTTAATACTGTATTGTCCTAGAGCTACATTTCATGAAGTATTCCATCATCTTCCTTGGCTGTTTTTCAGAGACTTCTCTATTGTAATGGATCGTTCCCATTTACGCATTTATTATGGTACAACACTACAGACGTGCATCAAATGTGAAAAGGCATACATAAGAAATTAAGGGGATTGGTCCCACCCCCTCGCCCCAACCAGAGCCTCTGCATAGATCCACATGGACTTGTTTTACTTGATTTTCACATATTTTGAGGTTCTTGAACCTGTTGTTTCTCAAACTCCTCTTTTGATGTATAGAGCCAGGAAATAACGGGGCAAACAAAAATATTCCAAGTGATCATACTGTTTAAAGACTATTGGGGCGCCGTTGGGTCTAAAGCCACTGGTTTTGAAGCAACTTTTTTTTTTTTTTTTTTAAACGTGTTTTTTGGAGTACTGAACTTTACAGGGGCTTGCCTTAATCTCTATTTAGTAGTTTCAAAATAAATGCGCTATTCTACATGTTGAAATATTCTATGTAGCCCCAAAAGTGGGTAAAACAGAGTGTAAGTAATGCCTAAATAAATAAGCTAAAAGGTGTCACTACAGCCGGATTTTTGAGAGAAAATGGGCATATGGAAATAGGCTATGTGTAATAAACAAATAATGACGCCTGGAGATTGCACTATTTTATGCATTCGTTTAGATGCCATTTCATAGCCTGCACTTTAATCTCCAAAGAAACTGTATGTTGTCCCGGTTGTTCCAGCTTAATAAATCTTCTCCTGAGACAGGGCACTTAATTCTGTTTCACTATACTGAATTCGTTTCTTGGAGATGGATTTCTTTTTTGAGTTCTCTATTTCCTTAGCCATAATATTTTCTAGGATCTGGGAACTCCCTATCTTGTCTATTTCCAACAGTATGTAATCTTAATTTAATGTAATGAAACACTCATACTTGGTGATCAGCACATTCTTATATCCTGCTCTATCAGAGAGTATCCGTTCGTTACACTTATCAAACCCTCTAAAAATATTGTATGCTGTAAGTAAAATTTGAAGCCAGGAATAAAAGGCATTCTGAAAGGAAACATACTGTATGATGCAGTCTCTTGCAAACAGCTGGGTCTGATGAAATTCAATTTAATATGCTGTCCAATTCTTTGACTTGGGGTTTATCTGAATCCCTTTAGTACACAAAAAGGTTAATAAGTTAAAACTCCTTTAAAATAACAGACTTCTGTAGCCTGTCATCTGACACAAATTATTTTCAAAAAATGCTAAAGCAATTCTACAAAATGAGACTGGCAACTAATTGCTGTTTACCATGATTTAACTTTTAATAGCAATACAATGATATTGGTGATAAAGATGATAGGCTTAAGTGTTGTTGGCCTTTTCCAGCTTCCTGAGAATCTTAGTTCTGAAATTAAATCCAAACTTTTCCAGTTGTGTCTGAAGAGAACCATGAGATTCAGAAACATTGGGAATTTATTATTTCCATTGCCAAAGTATACTGGTCCATATGCAAAGGTCAGAAGTGTTTAAAATTTCTTTATGTGCTACCATGTCTGTCACCTATGCTCACGAGTGACAATAAATTACTAGTTTATCTTCTGGAATTTTCATTGTTTCTAACCTAATTCAGTTACTGAAAAGTGAAAAACACCTCCCGGTCACACAACAGGGTACGTGAATAAATGTGTTGTTACCAGTGCTACTTGTTTTCTTTGTATTTCATGCACAAAAGAATACAGAGCTCTACTGCTAACAAACACCTTATTAGTAGCCGCCGTCTCGTGAAGCACTGTGCTGTGTGTGCTTTCCGTTTGTTCTTTCAATTCTCACAGCCACCTTATAAAACAGGCTTTACATGGGAAGTTGAACTTGGGTTAAGCAACATGTCCACAATGTTCTACAAGTAAGCAACTAAATGGAATTAAACCTACCTGCCTTTGGAGCTGCCGTACGTCCTGGTACACCATGCTACATTGTAAAAAAGCTGGGGGCTATGAGTTAGACTGTAAATGGTGTTAATTCTAAGATTAATAATACGTAGGTGCTCCATGCATCTATGAGAAGCAGTCAATGCCAAAGTCACTAATGCAATAGAACTGAAGAGAAGGAAGACGCTGGGCTTGGAGGAGGCAACTTCTATCCTGAAGTTTTTTTGGCAATGTGTTCATCCTAGGCATCAGGTAAAATTACGAACATTTGTAAGGCTTCTAGAACCTGCAGTCTTAAATAGGCAGTCCGGGTAGTAGACATGCTCTGGGGTCACTAACAGCACCTTACTATAATATGGGCTGCTGGTTTTGACCACGAGGTCTTTTGCCCTGCCAGGGAGGAATATAGAAAGGAATTTTGGAGAGAGTCTCTCCGAAACTAAATACTCAAATTTCAATGAAATAATCGTGCCAATAAATACCAACTGTTTTTTTAAGGTATGATGGGAAATTGGTGAAAACAGATTTTTCTGAGGAAAAGTAAACTTCTCTGATACTTTTTTTAAAATTAGTATTTATTTTTGCTGACAATATACACAAACATACATCCATTCACAATTTCTACGTGAACAGGCCAATGACTGGTTATATACTTCATCTTGTGCCACCACTGTCACTGTCTCTACCCATATTGTTCCATCACCATTAACTGAGGCGCTCAGCCACTTAAGCTCTCATCTGTACTTTAGATTGACTCTTGTCATTTTAAACTCAGATAATTCTTTATAAGAGTGCAATGCTCCAGGCAAACTATTAATTGGGCTAAACCATTGTTTAACAATGACTTCATGAGATAGTTTTGGTTCAAGATTTAATAAAGATTATTTCCAGGGTGTGCCGCTTAGCTCAAGTAGATACAAGAGACTAAACAGGCAGCTTCTCCCCGGAGGTGGGATGGGGAGGCAGAAAGGGTTAGGAGCTGGTCGAAGGTTGAATGGACATGGGGAATTGGGCGGAAAGGAGGAGTGTTCTGGCACAGTATGGGGAGAGCAATTAGATTCACATAACTAACTATGTATAAATTTTCGTATGGGAAAAAATAATTTCCTGCCATTAGATTTGGGGGTTCCCCAGTTTCAATGGATCCAGTAAGTCTGGTTTCCATATGAATTTGAAGTTCTGTTCCATGCTTTTCCTCCTTTTGATCAGGATCTGTCTGCTAGGTCTTTGATCTGATACCTTCTTTATCCAGCTTGTCCACAACTTAGATATTCCGAAAAGATCACAGATGACTTTATGTGGAAGGGGGAGGGTGACAGCAGTGATATCTGTTGTCCCAGTACCACGTTGTAGTCAACAAGATATCATAGCCTAGAAAAACAAAGGCTGCTGTTCTATCTCCAGCAGGTAGGTCGGGGTGAAAATCTTCATATTCTCCAGGTGGCTCAGTTGCTGCCTTATAAATTGCATTGTTAGAAAACCAAGGGTCTTTCTTTGGAGGGGGGTGTAGTAAATATATGTAGCAAAACATTGCCCATTTCAACATTTCTTCACGTGTACAACTCAGTGACGCTGTGTTTATCATAGTCAACCATTACCTTTATCTGTTTCCAAATTTTTCTATCACCCTTAACAGAAGCTCAGTGGTGTTCCCCTTTTCCTCCTTTCTGCCGGCCCCTAGTAACCACTAATAAACTTTGGTCTGTATACACTTGCCTGTTCTAGGCATTTCATATAAGTGAGATCATACAAATAGTTGTTCTTTTGCAACTGACTGACTCAGCATAATGTTTTCAAGTTTCATCCATGTTGTAGCATGTATCAGAACTTCATTTCTTTTTAGGGCTGAGTAACATTGTATATATGTACCACATTGGTTTATCCATTCATCTGCTGGTGGACATTTAGGCTGTTTCCACCTTTTAGCCATTGTGAAAAGTGCTGCAATGAATATTGATACAGAAGTATCTGTGTTCCAGCTTTCAATTCTCTGGGGTATATACCTAGGAATGGAATTACTGGGTCACATGGTAGTTCTATGTATCACTTTTTGAGGAACCGCTAAACCATTTTCCACAGTGGTTGCACCATTTTACAACTCCACCCACAATAAATGAGGGTTCCAATTTCTCCACGTCCTTATCAACACCTGTTGTTCTGTTTTGTTTGTTTAATCATAGCTATTTTAGTGGGTGTGAAGCGATATCTCATTGTGATTTTGATCTGTATTTTTCTAATGACTAATAATGTGATGTTGAGCATCTAGAACACCAAAGACCTTTACTAGTATTCTCGCTTTGGTTTTTTTCTTTGTGGGTGTTTGTGTGTGTTTTAAGAGTTATCTTTCCCTTATTTATAAACTTCCCCATATTTGAATTTAATTCCTGACACAATTCTTACTGGATGCATTGAAGATTATTCCCTTGTCCAGAGAAGTGCGTCTCAACTTGCTTGTATGCTTTCCTCTGGTTTTTGGTGAGTCATTTCCTCAAAGCAAAACTATAGGAAATGGTGAGGGGAAAGACTGGAGTAATGTTTGGTGAGGGGAAAGACTGGAGTAATGTTTGAGCAAAAAGTGCAAGTTACAGCTACAAAGGAAATACAAATCAAGAATGAATTTTCCAAAATTCAATAAATTCCATTCATAAAAATACAGTCAACTAAATAGCTTTCAACTTTTTTTCTGTTTGTGTTTTTTAAATTCTACCTATCCACACCTTTTCTTTACATTGAACAAAAGTCCATTTCTAATTAACTAACTTGTTAAGAGTCTGAATGCCAAGAGGTTCACAGGGTGCCCCGTACATAGTAAGCATGTAATAAGTAGTGGGGATCCATACAGATATAGATATGACTATGGAAGTACACACACACCCCAAGACTGTGGCACCAAGGGACCTTCACTTTCCTTCTCCCTAGGGGCAGGGGTTGCACTGAGCATAGGTGTTGCTCCAGGCGGAGTGATGCACATTGGGTGGTGGTCTCTCACTCCAGGCATAGCTGCTCAAGGAGTTTACATAGTGCAAAAATGCATTGACTTATATAATGCATTGACTACATCTCTGTGAATTACTTAATATGGCCCTTTTAGCCATTCACCGTTTTGTAATGATTGGGTGACACTATGCAAATAAGGTGCTTGTAGCCCATCAAGAGGATTGGTCAGTTTTGTCTTCCCACTAGGCTTAAAAAGGAGAGCCAATCCCAGAGCAGAGAGGGGGCCTCACTACCACCAAGAGGAAGAGATGGGAGTGGAGTGTGTCCTTTGGACCCGTGGTCCCTGTGCTGAGAACCTCCTAGGCCCAGGAGACACAGACGAGTGGTAACACTGGAGACTGCTCGAGATGGTGAGAAGCAGCAGCAGAGAAATGGCAGCAGAACTGGGACACCAGTGAGAGATGGCACAGTGGGCTTCCCAGCCCATGGAGCGAGAGAGCTGAGCGCCTTTGGGTAGAAGTCTTGCTGGGTGAGTGAGGTTTCTCCGGGCACTTATTCGCGGAGCTGAAGAGCTATGTAACACTTGCCCAACAAGGGCAGAGACCAGGCAGAGGGGCCGAGGGCCAGAGAGAGAGAGAGAGGCCTGCCTGTGGGCATGGCTGAGAAGCTG